ATGTTGAAGCATAAGGAAATGCTTGAAAAACGCATTTTCCAAACATTTATTCACTGAACTTGGAAAGCACTGCTCAGGGCAACTCAAGATATGTCTGCAAAATCGTTCAACTTGAGCATGAAGCAAGCAGCTTTGCCTGTTGACATGAGCATGCAGTAGGTAAAGTGAGAAAAAGAAGGATCACAGCAGTCCCAGTTGTCAGGCCTATGGATAGTGTACAGCACCAAAAAGGTCACTAACATGCTGCAAATCCATTGCAGCATTTCCAATCTGTCCTACAGAAGCTCTTGCATAAACGCCTTTGCCTTCAGGGCCCACAGATCCTCCAAGAGCCTCCCAGATGATGCTGGGACTCAACTCAGGTTTGCTGTGCAACTAAGGTGAGGAAACATTCCAACCCCAACATTTACTTGAGATGTGGTCACTTGACATGTGACGCTCTCCTGCAGCACTCGTGCAAGGGTCTCATGCCAGCAGGCCCCATTCCCTGGGGGCAGTTTATCTGTGGATGGTGGGTACAGCCCCTTTCTATGACTGGGAGGAGGCAACATCCTCTGCTACATTTCCATTGCTGTGAAAAGACCCAGGGAATATAGAGGTTTGGACTAGTTTACACAGTAGACTGGTGCCTGGAGCTTTTGACACTGGGATGCCTACAGAAGAGCTCAAATCATGTATGAATTGTTTGGTTTTGGTTTAGCCCTGTTGTGAATGTAACAAAACCAGTGCGACGTCAGCCGCCTCTATTCCAGAAAAGCAGCTGCAGTATTAGAAAGGCTGGCTACCCAGGGCTCCAGCAATAACAACATGATGGGGAAGGGGAGCTCAAGAAAAAGGGGGAGTCAGCGTGCCAGTCTGCTTAAACCAAGGCCAATAATCCCTCTCTTCTATAAGCAAAACATCTACTTAGAAAAGTCATCTGACTAAACCAGAAAAAAATAATTAAAAAAACCCCATGTGTCTCAGTAGTCACCAGCTAAAATTCTGTATTCCAAGGTAATTAAAACACGAACAACCTTTTACTATTTACCACAATCCATACTTAACACTTTTACCTTAAAAAACTGAGAGTTGAATTTCAGCCATCCACCTGCAAAAAATTGAGCAATTCTGCCAAATTCCCTTCCATGCACTCCAGCTGATGGCAAAGTAACAGAGGTACCATAATTCACTTGATATTCTTTTCCTGCTAATGCTTTATTCAGACTGAGCTTCACTAATAAAGATGAAACTTTGGACTCATGATTGCTCCATGTTTACAAACACACCCAGGCTCCTGTACATCTTGGTTAAGCATAAACAATCACTGAGCATACAATTTCCTTAAAAAATCCTGCATACCAAAATTGCATATTTTGAAATTTTAAAATTCACTAAACAAAATTTCACAGAGTGAACCCTGAAGTCTGTTTGCCAAGAAAGCACAAGCCAAAAGTGATGTTGGGACCCTCCAGGAGAAAAGAATAAGCTGGACCCCAATACACACATCCTTCCCACTAAACAAGCAAATAATTACACATTCATACAGAGTAATTTTCTCTAAAAATGCATGTGCTTAAGTAATTATCCACAAGTTTCAGCATAAATTTTGGTTGGTCAAACAGTACTGTCTCACAGTAAGTTTCCTTTTTTTTGATGGAACTGGGCAGTGATTTCTTGCTGAACACCGGAGAACAAAAACTAGCCCAGACCCCAATAATTTTGACACCAGTCCAAATGTGTTTCTCCACTGAGAAAAATTACAAAGACAAGGCTGTATTTAAAAAAAAAAAAAAGAAAGAAAGAAACAAAAGTTAGAGGTGTATATAGCAGTATCACTTTTTAATGCCAGATACTGGACCAAGGAATGGGACAGACTGCACTGCATTTTTAAAGTAGTATGACTATTGACATACTTGAGAAACATTTTAACATTGTACATTACAACAAACTATTTAGTTCATTTCTACACAAGTCAGCAAAAAAGCTAGGTGATCCGACGGGATATGGCAGCTGCAAATTTAAAATGATAGGCACAGTCTAAAGCCAGAACAAAAACATCTCCAGAACTCCTATTTATAAAAAGGAATGAACGTACACACTGTGCACGCACACGCAGGCAAAAATCTTGAGGTTTTACTTGCTGCTCTTACAAAAGGCTGTGAGCAGGCAAATGTCTGGATCAGAAATTAGGTCAAACATGCATTTCAGCAGGCACAAAAAGTACAGGAAATTCATACCAATGAAACAGTGTACTGTGTTACGTAATACAGGATGGTATTCTGCTAATATAATACTTACGTCATTAATACCGGATAAACTCCAGGTCTGCCTGTTGCATAACGCGTTATGCTCTGTGGTATTTTAACCTAATTTCTGATTTTTTTTTTTCATCCTTCACCCTCCACGCAGGGACAAAGCGGGCAGTTTTCAAGGCAGCCATTCTTTGCTACTTCAGAGAAACCTCAGCCTTGAGAGCTTCAGCTGGGCAGGTACGGCTGGAAGGAGGTTACCAGTGCTCTGTCTCCAGGATCTGCTCTTTGATTGCCCCAGGGTTTTGTGCAGTCACTGACACCTCAGAAAAACAATCACAGAAGCTGGTGCAACATGCATCAGTGCTGCTCTTAGAGCATCTTCCAGCTATGCTCTACGCTCCTGGCACACTCAGCAAGTGCTACAGGGGATAAGGCTATGGGAGGTCGAGTCCTCTTTCTGGCCACTTCCTCAAGAGACTTACAAAGGCAAGGGGTTTTGGTGAACTGGCTTTCCTTTACACAATTAGTAGCAGAGCGTGGATGTTAGCAGAAATCTGGCTACCTACTGGCAACAAGAGATCAGCATGTTCACAAGACACATTTTGGAATATCTGCTCCTCCATACTGCAAGCAAATTAAACGTGCTGTGGAGAGGTGTCCATGTAATTACAATAATCATAAGCCAGGTTCAAGGCACACTGCACATGGGCCTTGCACAAAAAAAAGGCATTGATAACGACATCTGAGGGGTTTTTATTTTTGTTACTGTGCTATGCATCCATATGACAGTAGATAAAAATCAGCACAACAGTTCCTCTCCATACATGACCCAACACACATCGTAACAATTAAGCACCATATATACTATTTGTTAGTTAACAGGAATTGAGGAAGAAAATGGCGGTTTTGGAACAGAAATCCAGCACGAAGAGGTACATTCCTGACAGAAGTCCTAGATGAAAATGTTTATTGTAAACCAGTAAAAGGATTTTTTGACATAACCAGAAAACCACCAATGTCTGCAGGGCCAATTTGGGCACTGCATCATCAAAATCATGTTCTCTGGTGTTATAATATGGTGTTGAGCAATCTCTAATTATTAGAAAGTGCAGCAGGTAGATGACAAGAGCTCACGCTTCAGGGAGGTTATGCTTTATACTTGCAAGAAGCAGTGAAAATCAACAGATTTTTCTATCTTATTAAAGGTCTCTTGTGTCCCTTGACCCAATCCCTAAATCTCTCACAAATTTCAGCTTTCAGACTTGCCAAATACCCAGATTCACACTGAGCTCTATTTTAGTTCTGAGCAGTACTACTAAAGCTATTGGGACTGCTTGGAGCAAGGCGCTACTGTAGTGAAGGGTCAGGAATCTGGCTCTTTCCAGAAGTGAACTGCAAAAGACCAGGATTTCATGATAATCACAGGTGGAGGGAGACACTTCCTGCGTTGTTTTTTTCTTTCCAATCTGTCCTTATGAGCACCTACATTGATAAGACTGAAATGTGGGAAAGACTCCATTACGCTCATCCAGACATTTTGACACTGGGACAGCCATGTCTGTTTAGGAGGGGTAGCCCACCTAGTGGAGTGTTAGGTTGGCCTGGGTTCTCCTCCCAGCTATGTCACTGCCTCTTACTAGATGACTGCATGTAAGGATTCTTGGTCTCAGCTGGGATAGTGAGGCTTCCCTAGAGCAACTCCTCTGTCACACTATCCATTGGTGCACAATTGTATTTCATAGGAAAGAGGGAGGCAAAATAGGACCAAATTCTTTAAAAACAATTAAGAAAACTCAACCTCTATAAAAAGAAGAACAATTTGCTATCACATTCTTTCAGAAGGAGTCCTAGGACTTCTCATGACCCATTTCTTCACTAATGGCTATGAAGGCCAGGTCAATGGGAAGCCTGGCTACCAAGTTGGAAGTAAAACAGTATGTCCAATGTTTACCATTCAAATCCATCCTTCATGTGAAGTCGGTTAGGCAGAAGTGTTTTGGCTGCATTTTTAGGTATTTCTCCTATTGCACCTTGCTTCCATGTTTTGAAGCTCTTTCAAATAAAAGATGCTGGGAAGTGCCAACTCCCTGTAGTTGAAAAAAATGAGGGAAAACAGAGGCAAACCACACACACCACAGAACAAAACGATTGCTTGTAAAACATTTCCTTTTAAAAACTATTGTACAACTCCCTAAGTTGGCTTAACTGATGTGCAGTTTAAAACATATAAAATGCCTTACCAGCTAAATGATTTCTTGGTTTTACAAGTCTCCCTCCCCCCTTTAAAAAATAAACCACATATGGACTGGTATTGAACACCTTGTACGGAGTCGCACACCAATCCTCCTTTAATTCTACACGGAGCAGTTTTGATTTTAATCTACTGTGTTTACAGAAGAGCTCATACTGTATACTTTACAGTATAACCAGCTACATAGATGTCTTGAATCCCATAACATGATTAAAAAAAAAAAAAAATCACTGTAAATTGCAGTCCCTTTGATAAATGATTATGGCGACGCATGCAGTCCTCCCCAGTGCCATTGCTGCCAGACACGGGACATGATTTTCTCCACACGCTGCTGAGAGGCCCGATGCCACGCTGCCGGGGGCCATGGCCGGGCCGGTGCCCCGCAGCTCCCCCAGTGCACAGCATTCTGCAGTCATTGGGCAAAGCTGCAGTGAATTGTCTTGCTCGATGCCACCACCATCCCCACCGACCCAAACCAGCCCCTCGGGGGAGCATGCCCTCCCTTCCTCCCCGCTTCAGCCGCAGGAGATCACCGTGAAGCGCTTGGAAATGCAGGACATGTTATGGAGGACGATGCCCAGGAGAAAGACCAGGACGCAGGCCACCAGGATCACAGTGCAAACCCCTGACCAGGTGGAGCTTCTCACAACGCCTCTCCGGTCCGGCTCCTCCGCTCCCACCTCGGCATG